CATAAGAATAAGAAGAAGAAGAAGAAGATCAATCTCTCGATGAGTAATAAGAAGAAGATGATGAAGACGAATTAAGAAGAAGTTGATTATAGAAATCTAAGTTAAGATTATCGAATTTCTATTTAGAATTTCCAATTTAGGATTCATTTGATTTGGGGGTTTTCATTTGATACACTATATTCACTTCACATGTAGAATTATTTATTAATTTTTTATGTTACAGTGCAAGCGATAATCCGTCTCGATCTAGTAATCACTTGTATTTATCACTTTTTGGTTTACAAATCTGGTGGTGTGCTTTTGTACATCTCGACTAAGACACCTCCTCACACGATCTTAAGGGCGTCCTTCTCCACGTCGGTCTAACGCCTTCTATTTCTTTACTTATATTTTCCTCACCCATGTAAAAACTCTTTGGAAAATAATGTAATTGTTTACTTACCGAAAATCTCTTTGGTTTGGCCTTTCATTCATTCTGGGTAACTAATTCATTCGAAATTTCAATTTCTTTCCCATAGTATATATTAAGCACGAGGTAGCATGTCACGGATAAGGAATCTTACATCGAGTAATCCACAAAAGATAAAACATCTAAGATATCTAATTTGCTCATAAAGCGATCTTTAATTTTAAGTGAATATAGATGCAGTTGGACATATTGACGTGGAATCCCTCTTCTCAAACTCTCCGAAATGAGTATTGAAACCTTGTCGTGCATCCAACAAGTGACGAGGACAAATGGAGTGAATAATGCTTATGTCGATGCAGGTGGGCAAGATACATCAATGGTTTTAAGACTTGGGCTTCCACATAACATTCCGGGAAAAGTGCTGAATAAGTTCTAAACCTTTTGGGGGGGTGCCAATTTAATCCTAAACTTATTTTCGGTGCCAATTGAGTCCTAAACCTTTTGATATAGTGCCAATTCAATCCTTTTAGCCGAATTTTGCTGACGTGGACAAAATTTAATGATATTTTAATATTTTTTTGAATTTTTTTTTCTTCTCCCTCTTCCCTTCGGCTGCTCGCCAGAGCGGTGACTGATCGGAGGCCAGAGGCCGGCGAGGTCGACCTCGGGCAAGCCTCGCCAGATCCGGCGAGGTCGAGCCTCACCCAGCCATGGCGAGGCTCGCCGCGACCTCTGGCGAGGGCCAGGTGAGCCTCGCTGACGGCTGGGCGAGGCCCGACCTCGCCGAATCTGGCGAGGTCGACCCTCGCCCGGCCATGGCGAGGGCCAGGCGAGCCTCGCCCAGCCACCGGCGAGCCTCGCCTTCGCCGTCGCCGGTGGGGGCGAGCCTCGCGTTGGGCTGGCGAGGCTCGCCCGGCCCTCGCCATGGCCGGGCGAGGGTTGACCTCGCTAGATCCGGTGAGGCTCGCCCGGCCCTCGCGACCTCTGGCGAGGGCCGGGCGAGCCTCGCCGGCGGCTGGGCTAGGCCTCGACCTCTCCGGATTTGGCGAGGTCGACCTCGCTATCCTCTGGCCTCCGGCCGGTTGCCGCTCCGGCGAGCGACTGAAGGAAGAGGGAGAAGAAAAAAAAATTCAAAAAAAATTTATTAAATTTTGTCCACGTCAGGGCCGGTGACTGGTCGCCGGCCGGCCGACGTCCACGTCAACAAAATCCGGCCAAAAGGACTGAATTTGCACTTATATCAAAAGATTTAGGACTCAATTGGCACCAAAAATAGGTTTAGGACTAAATTGGCACCACCCCAAAAGGTTTAGGACTTATTCAGCACTTTTCCCCGTAACATTCCCTCCCAAAAGGAGGTCCGCATGTTCTAACAGTTCACCGCCCTTCCAAATCTAAAGGGTTATTCAAGTAAGAAGCGTGCTCGAACTGCTTGCTTAGAGCGTGGATTTGAATTATCACGTTCGCGCATTTTCTTGAGAAACCTCTTGAGCACAGAGCTACACCATCTCTAATAATTACCTAGTGTCTGCATATCAATTTATAGCCATCCTATCTAAATGGATTTCATCGGGTATTGGTTATAAAGTGCCAAAAACGTACAAACACTTAGAAAAGGGCCTAATTCCCTAAAAAAAATTCAAAACTTTAGGTTTAGTCCTAATTCTGCCTACAAAGTGTTTTTTATCTAAAAAAAAATCTAAACTTTAGGTCCAGTCTCAAATTTGCCCTTAACTTTTTTTATCTAAAAAATATCACCTACTTTAACTATAGTCCTAAATTTGCCCTCGTCAGCCCTCTGTCGAAAAATTGCCTTTAGTCGTCCCTAATTTTCATATCAAAGAATGGTTCCCTTTGGAGATAATTTTCGATGTTACCATGCTGATGACATGGGGATGACGCATTGAATAACTAGCTGCAATTTTTGGATAGAAGGCTAATGGGGGCAAATTTGAGACTAGAGTTAAAGTTGGAGATTTTTTTAGATAAAAGAAAGTTAAGAGGCAAATTTGGGACTGGAGTTAAAAGTTGGTGATTTTTTCCTAGACAAAAAAAATTGAATTAGAATTGAAACTAGACCTAAAGTTTTGGTTTTTTTAGAGAATTAGATGCTTCAAGAAGTTTATAAATGAACGATTGATCAACTCATTTTTATCCAAAAGTCCATGAATTCTTCGAAGAACGGTCCCGTTGGAAGTTATAAAAACCCTAGGTTACGTTTGGTACCTAGGATAAAAATTGGGATGAGATAAAATTTATCATATCCCGTGTTTGGTTCCTACCTAAGATAGGACAAAGTCTGATATGATGAGGATATAGCCCGAATAAAAAGATCCAATGGGGGAGGTGGGATAAATATGGATATGAGTTTTTATATTTAGCATTTGTTGGCTAATCTATCTCGTCGATGTTGTTATAATCTGTTTACATTTCTTGTCATTATCGAACTTGTTTAAGATGTAGATCATACAATGAATTGATTGATGGAGATTATCTCCGTTTGTGCATTTGTGATTTCTTTACCAGTTAATCATGAAAAATTCTTACCATTTCCGTTACTTTGTGCATTTTCAGGTTCATTTATATCGATATACTGTTTAGGGGTGAGTAAAAGGATCTACCTGGACCGGACAGAATCGGCCGATTTTAGGCAATTCCTGGGGTTACCGGTCCGGTTTTTTGATCCATAAAATTGGAACCAATGAATTTCAATCCGGTTCTCGATTCTAGGTATGGAGCTGCCCACCTGGACCACCCGGATTGGGTTGATTTTTTTTTAATTTCTTAAAAATCAACCCTAATTTATCTCCTTTCACAAATAAAGGCTCTTCAGGGCTGGAGCTACTACGTTTACTTATGCATCTGAGTAAAATGACAAGAATAAATAAAAACACAACAATAGTTACTCATTCCAATCAAATTTTGCCACAAAATTAATTTTTTTTTGGTGAAACCTACAATGTTACACGTAACTCATTAATTGTAAAAACGCATTAATTATCAATAACATCTTCAATTTCATCTTGAATATTAACAAAAAAAAAAGTGAATATGCCACCGGTTCCATTGACCCACCCAGGAATTGGAGCAGACCAGTTAGTCGCTCTGGTCCAATTCCCTATTCCAAAACTAGGAACCGGATCGCTTGGGAACCGATCACTCTTAATGCCGTTCATATCAAACAATGTATATGATAATATATGAAATTATTCGACTCTATTACTATGTTTACCAAATAGTGAATAAGATATAGCAGAATCTCTAGATTTCATATCTTGTTATATTCAATTCTATATTGACTAGTAATCTAGACGATTAAATGCATTCTAAAAGACGAGTCTAAAGAGGAGGGTCAAAGCATTTACTCCCTAAAGATTAATTCTGCTAGGTCCCATGTCACGCGCCGAACTCATCGAACAAAAATGAAAGGGACGAGAAAAAACCCTGGGATTCAGACGAAGGATCCTGGAAAAACCAGCAGCCAACTTCCTCGACTTTGACTTACGTAACTCCTCTTGCATTTTTCTCCTCCGCCACCCTGCAAAGAGAAACGAAGTCAAACTTGACATCCCCCGGAGCAAATGACATATTATAAAATATGGTCAGACCGGCGCCTAATCTTCATTATAATAAGAACGACCATGCAGTGCTGTCACATCACATTCAAAAGATATTGCAACACTTAACGCGTAAATTCACATGTATAATTTTTCATAAATTGGAATGATATTGTAAAAGTATTAATGTGAAAAAAAAAACTCTTGTTGAGCTAAAACAAACATGCTTGATCATGTACTTCCACAATCTTGCCTCATCAGGTAGCAGTGTAAAAAAAAAAATAGTTCTCCTAAGTTTGGTAATAGAAACCCGAAACAACTTGACGTTGGACCATCGAAGATGAACACAATTACGAGGAAATATGATCAATCCAAGGGTTCGAAACTTGTAAAGGTCACTCGTTATGAACAATCGGAACTTTGCCATATGAGAACCGAAAGGAAAGTGGATTTCTGACTATCATCATGCTGATACAACATACCCTTCGCTTATCAAAGATTCCAAATATCTTTTATACGAATTCTATGGTACCAAAACCGTTAGGACCTCCATCACCATTACAGAACAGTAAAGATATCTTCATACTTGCATCAGTTTGCTCTTAAACCCAAAAGGACCCGTATTCCTTACTTTGATTATGGGGATATTCCAAAACATTGAATTCTCAGAAATAAAAAAAAGGGTAAATTTTTAGATGAATCGATTAAAGCTACGAGATGATGTAATTTTCAAGTGAAGTTAACGTAATCCAATGAAGATTGGCAGGGATTGGATTGAATGCACATGCACAAAAGAGAAAACATCCGACTGAACCAAACCAAAAGCGTGTTCAGAGTTCGTACTCCTCCAGCTGTGCAGGCAAATGGTCGCTCCTCTGACGTTACCTCACGAATCGGTCCAAGTTCTAGCAGAGGGCAGAAAGCCCAATCTCTTTCGTCGGTGTCGTGTGCGAGCGGGACACGGAACCTCGGTGGCGATAAACCTTTTCTCCTCTGCTGACCTTTTTCCTGTGAGGCAAAAATAAAAGAGGAAAAGAGAAAATGGCGGAATTCGCTGGTCGTTCTATGTGGGTCAACACGCCCAGAGCTTTCATACCAAAAATCCTTCGAGTTCGCTGGGGTTCGGAAACACAGAATCTCACACACCCATTTTCTTATTTGCGCGAAACCCAACAAGAAAAATCAGTTCTTGCGCAGGCCCTCTTCGTCTTTCGCCGTCTTTCGCTGCCGCGAAGCTCCAATTCGTCGAATTCCGCAAGCTAAGCTGCTGATATTTGTGGGTTTCTTTGCTGGTTCTTGTTCCTTTCTTTTCTGGGTTGCGTCTTGCATGGATTAGTTCTTGAATTTCTGGAGAAGCATGCCCAAATCCAAAAACTTCATGCATAATCTTCTGAAGACATTCAAATTTGGCTCGAGCAAAGGTGAATGGGGAGACCCGGCTGGCTCTGTTGCCGGCGAACATTTTTTCGTGTTCTTTGCGTACGTTTTCTTGTTCTGTTTCGTGGTCTGGTTATGTTATTGATCTCTGTCGTTGCTGTGACTAGAGGGGCAAGGGGAAGAGGACTGGGAGAGAATAGCGGCTCAGGAGCAAAAGCATTTCGCATTCGAAGCGTTGGTTGTTGCGACGAAAGATTTTCACCCAACTCACAAACTTGGTCAAGGTGGCTTTGGTCCCGTATACAAGGTCAGTGACTTCTGCCCTGTAATTCACTGGAAGTTTTAGAGTTCCAGTTGCTTTCTCATGTACTGAGTACACTGCCCTTTGATTCTCTAGCTCGGAGCAGAAATGGGAAATTTATGGTGAAGTTGTGGAGTTGTCTTTCTGTGTCTTGCTCAGAATTGAGTCAATCTCATCAAAGTGAGAATAGCTGGAATGGGCGTGAGAATGCTATACATCTGTGGGGATACATGCAATATGTGTCTTGGGTTCTCAAAATCGTATTTGCTGATGAACTTGTATGTCAACAGATGTAATTAGGTATGGTCATTGTTGTAAGGCACTAGCTATTAGTTACAGTAGCCAGTCTGTCGGTTCAAGAGACATTGGTATCTAGAGTTTTATGTGCCAATTATTAGTTACAGCAGTTATTGTTAGTTCAAGAGACACAGTGATGGTAGAGCTGTCTAATGCGGCGTCTGTAGATATTTTTCTCGAAAGATTTGTGAATTTGATGATTCCAGGATGTCAATGAAGAGAGGTTACCTTATATGCCTTCCTGCTCTCTCGTTTTCCCTGCAAAGATCCTGCTTTCTAGGTCTTGCTGTGACTGTGAGAGTTTTGGACATGGTTACTCTGGATTTTTGTTGCTCGCCTGATCTCTTGTTCTCCTGATTTTACGCGTTATTAAGAATAACATATGAACTTGTGCTCAAGGGAGTACAGGAATTAAGTTCAGAAATTTCAACTGTTCTGCTTGCCTATTTTGTTATTCAACTTCTTGCTAATTGTGATCGAGCTTCTCTTGTGCTTAGCCTACAGTACATGTTCAACCTAATAGAGGGCAGTGTTTTCAGGCATCAAACATAAATTTCGGAGATTACTTCATCTACCTTACAGTTGTTTCTCTGCAGGGAAAGTTGGAAGATGGGAGAGAAATTGCGGTGAAAAAGCTTTCTCATAGCTCAAATCAAGGGAAGAAGGAATTTACAAATGAAGCTAAGTTATTGGCACGTGTACAGCACCGGAATGTTGTAAATTTGTTGGGTTACTGTGCTCATGGAGCAGAAAAGTTGCTAGTTTACGAGTATGTCCCCAATGAGAGCCTTGACAAGCTTCTATTCAGTAAGTATCAGTTAATCTTTGTAAATGCTTCCCTATCTGGTCCTCTTCTAAAATGTCATCATTCATCCTTGCGCAATTGACCAGCACAAAAAGAATTTCAACAGCCGCTTGGTTTCCAAGCTAAGATTTGAAAAAAAATGCCGCTCTAAAGTCATTTACCAACTAAGTCTGATACTTGATTCTTCATGTGACTTGAGAATAAATTTGAAATGGTTTGCTTGCTGCAATTGTATGACCGCTATTTCCACCATAAGTTTTCGTGTAAAGTTGCTTTGATATATTGATGTTTCCGTTAACTTCGATGAATACGTAACAAGATAGATTCCATGAAGAAGGTCAAGTCTTTGGTTTTATCAGTTTGCCATGGGAGTTCACGTTTTAATTTGAATCTTGACTTCTCACTATCTGAATATGTATGTGGCAGTCCTTACTTCTCGCATGAGTTTGATTCGGTCATCTTGTATACTCAATGGCTCTTTTGTATATGTTTTGTTGTCGGAAGTTAGAAGATGCTGCTGATGAATAAAGAAACATTCCAGGATGTATATATGTATTTGGTCTGTCCCAGGCTGTTGTTGGTAAAATTTTCAACTAGGGTCAAACTTACCTGCGATAAACAATCTTTTGTGGAGAGAGTTTCTTTGCAAAAGGGATAAATGATGAGTTATTATTATTTAGATATAAATGCTCTCGAGAAACTTATGGGTACCTCTCAAACTGGATATTACATTTGCCTAGTGAGGAGTCACATATTCTGTGCATACCCTTTTTCCTTGATGGATAAAGATTTTCAAACTGAATATTACATTTGCCCTAGTGAGGAGTCACATATTCTGGGCAGATTCTTTTTCCTTGATAAATGAAGATTTTCATCTAAGACTTAACTACTAGGTCAACTTCTGGTGCTTGAATTCAATTCTTCCCCTGAAATACTTTAGTGTGTAAATGAAAACTCACATTTAACTGGTACTTGTTCGAATCCCTCCCAAGAAATGTGGTAGAAGTATCTACGTGCAAATTTACAGTAGAGATTTATTCACAATTGGAGTTCATCTTTACAAATGGAAACAAAGGTAACCTCATATGATTCCTTGATAAGTTAAGCAAGGTCATCTCTGAAGCCTTCATTGTGTCTTGAGGTCATCTATCTGCAATGTTGCCTTAATTTCATTATTCGTTCCGTTTGTATTCATTTAGATTATGAAAGAGTATGAAGCAAGTCAATAAGTTATCTCCTTCATGCATTTATGCATAAAATAAGAGTCGGGTTCTCTCTCTCTCTCTCTCTCTCTCTCTCTCACACACACACACACACACACACACACACACCCCTCTTTTTTTGGTGGAGCTGAATGGTCTGTTACCTCACACATGACACATGTAAGTCTTCTGTAACTAGAAAGCAATTATATGAAGCCATATGCTCCTTTCCGTGATGACTGTTAAATATTCAATGAGAGTCAGATCTGATGTCAAAATGTAGTTGGGCAATGAATGATGAAACGTTAAACATAATGCAGGCTGTGTGTCAAATTCCAAGAGTATTTGTTAACTATCAGAGCCCCAAACTGTGTAATAGTATTGATTTTGCGGTCAAACCACTTTGTTGAAAGCCTTTTTGTTTAATAATATTGATTTTGCAGTCAAACCTCTTTGTTTAGTGCCGTTTTATTTCCTCTGTTTTTCCTTGATCGGATGCATGATCCATTGTTTTAGAAGTAATCAATGTCCATCCACTTTGAATAACCCCACAGTTTTCAACTTTAAAAATTCCTTGCACACATATTTTCACAGTCCATTTTGACATAGTTGTTGCATACTTTTCCCTCCCAAATTAACTTTACGCAAAGAAGTCAAACTATAGTGTTTCTTATCCTGACGGCGACTTCACTGGTCTGAATGCAGAATCCAATAGTAAGAAGGAGTTGCTTGACTGGAAGAGGAGGTATGACATCATCGCGGGCATCGCCCGTGGCTTGCTCTACCTGCACGAGGACTCGCACAACTGCATCATTCACCGCGACATCAAGGCGAGCAACATACTCCTTGACGACAAGTGGGTCCCAAAGATCGCGGACTTCGGGATGGCCCGCCTCTTCCCGGAAGGCGAAACGCACGTCAACACACGTGTGGCCGGTACCAAGTAAGTGGTCGAGCATACCTCCTAATATAGTAATATGTTGTTCAGTGCTGTCAATGTATTAATCCCTGATCAAGTAGATGTTCTTCTATTTATATGAGTATTTAATTGGCAGTTAGTTGAGGATATAGGGGATGATTTGTGATTATTATAATTGGTTACAGTGGGTATATGGCTCCAGAATATGTGATGCATGGAAACTTGTCAAAGGCAGCGGACGTGTATAGCTTTGGTGTGTTGATTCTTGAGTTGATCACCGGACAGAGGAACAACTCCTTTAATTTGGACGTCGATGCGCAAAATATGCTTGATTGGGTAAGTATGATGCAACCCCGTTCTGACTTGTTTTGACAAATATTGGAGGAATCCCATACAATGCATTCTCTTTTAATTGGGGATTGCATGAGTATCAAAACTTTCGACTCAATTAGTTCCCACAGATATGCACAAAAAAAATAAATTTGAACTCCCTCTTGAAAAGGATCTGAACTAGTGATTCATACTCGATTTTAGTCCTGAAAGTTGATTCAAGAAAGTTAATTGCAAATGTGTGTGCAAATTACCTTCAATCAGGATGCAGTGCATGATTTTTCTTTCAACATTATAATAATATGGCTACAATTTAAATTTTATCCTTTATGATTTTTTTTCTTAGCCAGGAAAATCAGAACCTACTTCCACATCTTAAAAATTAAATTGTGAGGTGAGGGCCAAAATATAAATATATAGACACAGAAGGGGAATTCTTTAAATTGACTCTTTCAAGCCACTTGGGTCCATTTTGTGAAAAATCAACCACCATGTGATGGCAAAAAGCAATATTTAAATGCCAGTAGATGCACCCGTTGTGTTGACAACTGACCATATCCACTCGTATTTTCGTTTTTTGAAGTTACTCGAAAAAAGGAAACAGTATGTGTCGTCCGAAATGGTCTTAGGATGTATTTTTATATTCATGTGAGGAGGACCGGTGTGGTTTGGAAGTTCACATTGCTTTCAGACCTTATTGATTATTAATATGAGTGAGATGGGGCAACCGTCTCTTGATTCGCGCATAAAATTGGCGAGTTACGTGCTTAAGTGGGCACATGTCGATATCAAAAGCTCTCTATAGACACCAAAAAACAATGCTAAAAGCAAGCTTATTGGGTAGATCATGTGTTAGGTCTGCATCATGATTAGCCCAGTCCACCATTCATGTCTATGGTAGATCGAGATTCAAGACTTGCTGATATCATTTCTAAAAGAAGGGAATTTGTTCAGATCTATAGTATGCTTCTAAATTTTCTACTCTAGAAGGTCTACTTATATCTTTTTGTGCGGTACTGCATTAAAAAGATTTGGTCAAGTTACGCTCACACATACTTTATCTTCTGCAACCGAGCTGGACATTTTGAGCAAGACTTGCGCATGGATGGAATATGAATCACTTGGTTGGAAAAAGAAACTGAGGCATCTGATTTTCTTTTATACTCTAGTTGAGTTAGAATTATATGTGAATCTTTCATCCAATTATTCTGTAATTTTCGCAATTATGCATCTCACGTATGGCAGTGATTTCTGAATATATAGGCATACAAAATGTACAAGAAAGGGAGAAGCTTGGAGATTGTGGACCCGACATTGGCATCCTCGGCATCCGCGGATGCCGCGGATCAAGTGGCCATGTGCATCCAAATAGGGCTTTTGTGTACGCAAGGCGATCCGCACCTCCGCCCGACCATGAACCGGGTCGTGGTCTTGCTGTCGAAGAAGCCCAGCAGCCTGGACGAGCCAATCACAAGGCCGGGCATACCCGGCACCCGTTACAGACGGTCCCGTCGGCCTCCCGGCTTGTCTAGTTCTACTGGAACGACTACAGGAGCTTCCGGCGACACTGTGGTGCACTCCTTCGGCTCAGGACTCAACACCAGGTCTGCGACTGCGTCGACGGCCTCAACCTCAACGATGTCTACCCTTGTGAGTCCTTCGGATCCTCACGGGAAGCGTCCTATGCAGAGTTAGGTACATTACTTCTATTGAGGTATAGGAGTTTTTGACTATTCTTTGTATGCCCAAATTAGAGATTGAAGTGGAATGTAAATGCTTATTGAGGGAATTAGTCAGGTAAGGCGTCTAAGGACGTGACCGGAGAATCTATGCAAGATGGGGAAAAAATTGGTTGCGTTGAAATGTGTAAATTAGCAAATTCATTCTTTTCTGCGACACTTTGTGTATATACCGTCATAAAATAGTGATACAAATATACGAATTAGTTCACAAAATGAGTTTATGAAATGGCGTGGAAAAAACTTATGGCGCTCGAATATGGTCTGCTAGTTTAAATACTGTCTGCAGTCTCAGATTGTCATTAAATCTCACATAACGTAGTCTTTGTACGGCAAGAAATGTCACGCCTCGAACCCCATCGAGCTCGCGACATCCCGCACTGGTCGATTAATTGCGACGTCCCAGGAACATCGCCGACCCAACCCGAATATCAGAAACACATGTGGAAGCGAATATAAAACCACTTACTATAAAGACGACGATGGGGTAGATCACCAAGACAATCAACAACAACGATCATTTTTATACAATGCCATTACACCAAGCATACAAACATCATATTACAAACAAACTTAACAGACGAGCATTCACAATCACCGATGTTGACACCTAAATTTTAACTAGTCATTTAGGAACAATGGCATAGAAAATTAGGGATTGATTTTTCAACCCCTAAACAAAAAAATATAATTAGATGGCATTGCATATAGATATTAGGAGTATTCCATTAATAGTTAATTAGGCCCATATAGTTTGCATATTTATCGGATCGACGGCGAATGGACCCGAGCGAATGGTTCCGAGCTTAAATCAAGCTAATTGAACTAAGCCCGCGAGAACTAGAAAGGTTGGCAAAAAGCCCATGCTATGACCGAAAATTTGATGGACTCAGAAAATTCTTCCCAACGGTATGGTCAGATAAATGAAAGGAAATAATAGCATGCAGGGCATGTATCGTCTTCACACATATCTTTGATTTATGGGCACAAGTGGATGAATGATGCAAAGAATAAAAGAAAATATTTGGCTGAGCTGGAGCTGTGCAGACCAAGGGAATAAAAGGAAGAGCAACTGGGAAAGAAATATTCACGTGCGGGCATATATTATTTGAGCAATATATCTTTCTCAAAACAAGAAAGAGTATACTGTCAAGGAGCTTCACGTGTCCATATGTGGAGGAAGAATGGGAAAGAACAAAATATAATATATTTTTAAGAGGAAAGAAGATTGACTCCCTTTATCCCGAAGGCCTAAGTCGTCCCTGCATATAAAAGAAGACTTATCAGAGACAAGGGGGGTTCGGAGAATTTTGGAAAAAAAGAAATAACGAGAGCGAGAGAGAGGATCACGGGTGGACTTGTCCCACCGCGCCTTCACCGACGCCGCACCTGCTCACGGCCAGACCTGTGGCCGTGCGTCACTGCCACCCCGGAGACACGAGTGAAAAGGTGAGAGCCAGAGCGAAAACAAGAGAGAATTGGTTGCGCGCGCCTGCCCCAACGCCGCGCTGCCTCGCGCCCACGCCACCTTGCTCCCGTGCCGTCCAGCATCCGCACCGACGCCGTCATCCGCACCGCGCGGACTGCTGCCGCTACTGTTCTGTGACGTTGCCGTCCCTCTGCTGATTGCCGAGTCGCCGCCCGTCGCTGCTTCTCTCAAGGCCAGACCTGTGGCCGTGAGTCGCGACCCCCCCTCGCTCCGATCTCTGCTTATCCTGCTGATCACCACGTTGCTGGATGGGCCCCTCCTACGAAGCTGCTGCATCTGATCCGAGAAGTCTCTGCCGAGCAGCTACCGCATAAAAGACCAGCCACGAAGCCCCCCGTGAAGTCCTCACTGTTTCTGCTTTGCAGATTAATCCGTGACGGTTCATACGAGTCCGACGCTCACCGCGAGATCTGATACTAGTGAGCCACCCCCAGCAATCGTTGGTTGGCGAGATCAAGATTTCTGGGTGATTTTCATCCGAATCCAGCAATACCCGACAAGTCCCAGGCTTGTCCGGTTCAACGTGGGTCAAAGCTTCATTACTTGACTCTTTGACCATATTTTTTAATCCAGGAATATTGAAGACCATCTTGCTACGCCCAATTTTGACCCTGGTTTATTGAACTTCGTCGTGGGTACTCCTCAAAGAGCCATCTTGCTGCCCCTGAGCCGCCGTCAGTCCACTCGCCATCATCCCGATCCGCAATCTCGGTCCGCGAGTTCAAATTTGGGAATATCCCGAAATTAGGTAAGAATGCTATCCGGTATATTTTCAAAATATTTAGATTCCTAGTTCAGATATTTTGAATATCCCGTGAATATTGCGTGGATTGCTAGATATCTTAGGATAATGTGTGTTATATCCGCAATATTCGAAAACACCCAAAATTAGGAATCGTTCCTAATTTGGCAACGTATCTGGACGACTATCCGACCTTATTCCTAAGGTACGATACGCGGCGATATGGAAAATCGTTATCTTATCCATAATCACTTGGATATGATAATAGATTTTAATCCGCTTTCCAAATTTGAATAATCTGCTTTCCGTCGATATCTATAACCCTATAGATATGACCGATAGTTTGATTTTTGTGCCTAATCCGAGTTTGAAACAAATATGGCGGATCGCGTGGACGTTTTGAATGTGGTTGCTATCCTTGTTTATTTAATTGCTTTCCTTTTTTTAAATAAACAGAAAATTCAAAAATATTAATTAGATTTGAATTAGAGTTTTTGCATGTCTAGGAATTCTAAATATATCTAGAAGATAGAGTAGTTATTTAATTTAAATTAGGACTTGAGATGATTTATTTCCTATTTTAAATTAAGTAATATTCTAATCTTAATAGATTATTCAGGTTATTTTATTATTTCGAATTTTAACAAAAATCCTAAAAAGAAATCATGCTAGGGTAGATTAAGTCATCATAGTTTGCATGTTAATTTAGGCATTTTTATTATTCCGAATTTAAATTGAGAAAATACCAAAAATAATCATTGGTCTTGTCATTAGAAATAGGTCACGTCGTCGCATGACATATAGTTTGCATGCTAGGTTGCATTAATCGCATGTCATTTTCGCATGTCATTGCATATAGGCTAGCTTTCATTTAAATAAGTGAAAATCCAAAAAATATTGAGTGAACTGCTTGTTAATTAGAAATCATATTAGAATTGTTAATGTGATTTTCTAGCTAACAATGCAGATGCTTACGTTGCTTCGAGGTAAGTAATTCTCCCAATCTTGCAATTTATTTAATGTTTTGATTATTGGGTGTTACTTTGGTGGTTTGCGCACCGGCATGAACACCTCACATGTTAGTGATTAGGCAATAAAATGGATCCAGACTGCATGCATAAATATTTTTGAAAAGAAAAGGTACCGAAAGGGCGTTAGACTAGATCTAGCGTAACCAAGTACCCGAGCTTAGAATCTCTGGTTCGTAGGAATAAAACATATCTCCTTATGTTTTATTTAGGTTTCTAATCAACCTACCATAAATTGATTAGTGGCGACTCCAAGCATAAAAACTTTTGCATGTTAAAAACTTAAACCCTAAGTTGCGAATTGGTAGGGCTTGGGAGGGCCCGAGTTAGGCTTAGTCTTAACAATCCATTAGTCTGAGAGAAATTTTAGGTCGCGACAACCGACATAACAAAAGGATAAAGTGGTTTGGTTAACTTAGCTTCATTATAGGTCGACCTAACTATCAAAAGGATTCTGGTCAGACCTATTCTACGCAACCCCTAAAATACCCTAGGGAAACTTAATGGTCGCCCTCCTCCACTCTACTTCAGCGTCCTTTGGCTCGTGCCCCCGGAAGATCACTTGGACCACGATACTGGAAATCGCCTGTAGCTCCACTGGGGCACCATGGTCAGCTCTTCATACTCAAAAAACGAGGAGGCGGGCCTCCTGGGTTTAAGGCTGGGGGTTTGAAAGTGGTGGTTATACAACCATGAGACGAATCTCAATAAGTGCACAACCCCAAACCCCACGTAGGCTCTTACGTACCGCCAGATGAAACCCGCATAACACACAACGATTAGCCAAACTAACAACCACATACGATCTTACCTGGGACCCATCATGCACGTTCCCGCACGTTAGATAATCATACAGCCAACATGCCACAGTAATGCATCACAACCGCGCGCGTGCCTCGATTATAAGGCAAAATCCACTTGGGCACGTCCCATACCATGTCTAGCAGTTTTTACCCCATAATCAAGCACTACATCACGCGATACAAACCACACTCGCACACTAACTCACGTCATGAGTCACTTTCGCAATCCTCACACGTCAAGCCAAGTCCATCTCATTCCCAACTTTTCCACCACTACCGCGCCCGCGTAAAGCGCATCAGGCCAACGGTCTTCTGACCTCGTCAGGCATCGTCACCCCGTCGGGCCGAGCATCGTCACCTCGTCAGGGACGGCATCGTCCCGCGTAAACGAACACGCTCTCACGCCACATATAAACACGGTCACGCACAAATTCACATCTCACATACACTTCACAAATACACTTCCTCGTCACACGAACACACCACCCGATCACACATGTTTGGCACGCTAACTCAATGCACAATCGCACCACCACGCCTCACGGCCACACATACTTAGCACGCGGTCTCCTTGCACGGTCACATCGGCACACGTCACGTGGCACACACGTAGCACTCGGCCACACACATGGCACACGGCCACACACAATGTTCAGTCCAAAACATAATCCAAAACCAGCCAACAATCATCCGCCACACAATCGCTTATACGAGCCCACTCAAGACATAGAATTACCAACCAAACTTACAATTCAGTCCAGGTCATTCAGCATCATAACAGCCCTAATTGAGCCTCTAAACCACACATATTCAGCCACCATATCTGTCCACAACAACCGAACATCCAACCCCTATCACAGTCTCAAAACAGCCACTAAAAGTACCCAACCCGAACCCTAAACACGTCCAACAATACCCGAGGTCCTAGGGAGGGTTTGGGGGAGTCACTTACCTCGAAAAGGCGTGACAAGCTGGCTGGACGGTGGCCGGAACAGCCGGATCAGAAGCAGCAGCCGAGCAGCAGTGCCGGCGACCAGGCGGGCGAACGGCGGCACCACCGTG